TTTTTGGGATTACCTGATAGGATCCCAAATACAAACCACAAAAAGAAACTACTACACCTACAGTTTAGCAGCCATTACCCCTTAATTAGTTGGTAGAACCCACAAATCTGTAGGTAATTAGAGTTCCAGGTATCTACAGTTTAGCAGCCTTTCCCCCTTAATTAGTAGGTAGAACCCACAAAACTGTAGGTACTTAGAGTAGAGCTCCAGGTGTGCGATCAGTGTCGTGCTTTGTCAAGCAAGGTGCACGGGGAGTATGACTTCCGTTTCTGGAGACCCCAACCAAACGGGGAACCTGGCTTATGGCTCCTGCAGGGGCCTTAAACAGATGGAAGAAGGTTTTGGGTATAGAACCAGAAGATGTAAGGAACAATGCTAGTGAATACTCAGGCTCGAGCTATGTTGGGAACAGGTACTTGCATTAAACAACTACCACGTGAAGGTTCTGGTGCTGTTTTTGCGAACGCGGAAGTGCGAAGTAAGCATGGAAAAGCCTGGGAACAGCGAAGCCGATTCTCAAGTCAGGTTCGCCAAGGGTACTTGTATATACCTGCTTGCTTCTCAGCTTACTGCAAGAAGCTCCCAAATTACCAGGTTGGAAGCCCGCGCAAAAACCAAACCCTACAACCCCACAAACACTCTCTAAGCACCCCCCCCCTTTGAGGTTTCAAGTTGGGTTTAGGCAGGCACATGCCCATGGCACTAAAGGTTGTACCTTGCGTTTATTAATGACCTGCTATTTGGGACTACGGCTGCAGGCAGGCGCGGCTCGAGGTTTCCTGTAGAGCGTGGGGTTTAGGGTTTAGGGTTTAGGGCTTAAGGGGAAAAGGCTTCTGGCCGCTAAGACTCTGGGGCATAAAGCAACTACAGTACACGCGCAAACCCCAAACCAACTGCCCTCGATTGTACCTAGCCCTCGACGCTCCCCAGTATGTCATGGAGCATGCGTTGAGCATAAGGGCTCTGTTGAGGGTGTGTTTTGTGGGACGGTCCAAGTAAATCCGGCTAGCTTTCTCATCTCCTTACGACCTTATACTAATCCGATCAACCCCTATAGCACCCTGTTTAGAGTAAACCTTTCAACAGTAACCCTAGGGTATCCGCAACCAAAGTACCTTATTTTTTGGGTCCTAAACCCAAAACCCTAAACCTTTTGGACCCCTAGGGTAACCCTACAGTAGAAGCCGAAAAGTTCGAAACCCAATAGCCTCAATCCTGAAAAGTCACGTATAGGGAATCCCAGCACTATTTGTCCTAAATCCGGTTTCCAACTTTTGGGGGTTTACTATATAACACCCTAAACCCTAAACCCTATACTCTGAACCCTGAACCCTAAACCCTGAACCCTAAACCCTGAACCCTAAACCCTATACCCTAAAACCTAAACCCTCGTCATGGTCGGAACCCGTTGTCTCCTGCCTTCATCGAAAGCAAGGCGTGGCCCTGCGATGCCTCGTGGGCACCTCGGTGCTCTTCGAGATGGTTCATTAGGGTCTAGGGCTTAGGGTTTAGGATTAGGGTTTAGGGTTTGCACATGGGGCTTAGGGTTTAGGTTTAGGGTTTAGGGTTTGGGGTTGGGGTTTAGGGTTTAAGGTTGGTGCATAGGTGAAAGTAGAGCATTAGGGTTTAGGCATAGGTGAAAGTAGAGCGTTAGGGTTTAGGGTTTAGGGTTGGTTCATAGGTGAAGTAAAGCTAGGGTCTAAGGTAGTGTTGGCTGCGGTCAGCTTCTCAAGGCGTCCTTACATTGAACAAGCCCACTTAGAATCGTACCACAAAGGATGTATCGTACAGAATTATCAGGCGTTTACGCTCCCGATCGAAATCCTCAGAAATGTCTAACTGACCACGATCCTTCAAGAACCCGGGATGCCTTCAAGGATCCAAACGAGCCCCGCAAGCAAGAAACTCTTCCAATCTAGGTTAACTTCTTTGGGGATTTATTCATTGGGAAGGGTCCCGCAAATTTGATTGTCCCCAGAAAGCCTTACAAGTGTTGGGGCCTGAACAACGAGAACAGGATCCATCTGGGCGATGCAAGAGCATCGCAGAGTGACAGGTGCGCTGTCGTGCAAGACTAGGATCATGTGGCGCCTTACAATATACCGATAGTCTCCAGTCTAGTTCCTTTCGGGGGGTTACTTTAGAAGATCCTTAGTATAAAATTGGTTAAACCAAAAACCCTCAACCCTAAGCCCCGATGCAAGAACAAAACAACCCTTTAAGAATTCTATCGAGTCCCCTGAAGGGCTCCTTTAAGCGTATCACAACAGACTGAAGGACAACTAGGAAGAACAACGACATCCTCGCAAGTGCTGTGCTCCTAAACCCCTAGTTCAGCCCTATAAACCCTAAACCCTAAACCCTATAAACACTAAACCCTACACGGCTGCGGCCATGGGTCAGCTGTCTGCATCATCTGCATGCGCCACATGAGCCAGTTCAACGCTCAGGAGCCATGCAAGCGGTACAATATGTAGGAAGAAGCTACCTCGGAAATTGGGTTTAGGGTTTAGGGTTTAGGGAATTGGGTCTTCGTTTAGGGATCTAGGGTTCTAGGGTTTCAAGGTAATGGTTTAGGTTCTAGATGCAGGGATTCGACTTTGCTAGGGGCTGATCGAAACCCCCCCCCCGGGGACAAGCAACACAAAAACGTTCATCAGGATTTGATCAAGGGTCCATAGATGCTACCATGTGGAGTTAAGTCCGAAAAACCATACTTATTATGGTTCTGGGAAGGGGGGGGTGCTAATTCCATACATAGATGTAGAAAAGATACAGATATAGATACACGTATAGATATAGATAGATAAATAGATAGATAGATAGATAGATAGATAGATAGATAGCTATAGATATAGATATAGATATAGAGATATAGGTTTAGATATAGGTAAACAGATATGGGTATAAGTAGATATAGAGATATAGAGATATTGAGTTATTGAGATATTGTGATAGGAATGTGTAGATATATGGACCCTCTTGAGAGCCAAGCCCTGAACTTGCATGAACCTTCAACTTCTGTGATTCTGCGGGTTCTCGGAGCGCCAGAGGAATATTGCTGAAGTTATCTGGACTTTTTGTCTGCTTACGGTTTTAAGGTTGAGGGCTAAAGGTTTAGGCCTTGTCAACGGGATAGCCAAGGATCCATGGAGTGGTTCGCAACATGATTTACCGAAGCTTACTAAAAACCTCAGTATAATCCTCTAACCCCATCACATGTTACAAATGTTTATAAATAAGTTATAAGTCTGTAAACTTCTAAACACTAAACCCTAAACCCCAAATCCAAATTTCTAACTCCTAAATCCTAAGAGGTGGCTGCTCTGGATTCTCAGCAGAGCTGCAAGTGGACGGCTGGGTAAGCTTGGAGGCTTCCCGGTCCGGTAATATAAGGTCTTCATGGGTTCCTTGGAAAGGGTTCCTTTGAGGGTTTATTTACAGTAGAAGCCCAAGAAGTTCGTTTAAGGGGTCCCTCTAAAGGGTTCGTTGTGGGTTCCTTTAAGGGTTCCTCAAAGGGGTCCCTCTTGGGGGTCTTTTCTGCGTTCCTTTAAGGACGCAACCCTCCAACACTGCCATTGGAAAACCCAGGACTTCCAAGAATTCTGCCAAAGGTCCCTAATAACCCCAATCGATGGGGTTCGTTAAAATACGTATCATAAATCCTGAACCCTACTTCCTAAATCCGAATCCCTAAACCCTGCATCCAAAATCCCCTAAACCCTAAACCCTAAACCCTAAACCCTAAACCCTGCATCCTAAACCCGAAACCCTAGACCCTAAATCCTATCCCTAAACCCCAAAAGACCCAATTCTTAAACCCAAAATCCGAAACCCTGAATCCTAATCCCCAAATCCTAGCCCCTTAGCCCTAAACCCTCAAAAACCAGAAGTCTGAGTGGTGTGGTTGCCCATGCTTCTGAGGTCTGGCGCCAAGCTTATCGGGCTCATAATAGAATAGGGTTTAGGGTTTAGGGTTTAGGGTTTAGGGCTTAGGGCTTAGGGCTTAGGGCTTAGGGCTTAGGGCTTAGGGTTTAGGGTTTAGGGTTTAGGGATAGGGGGGTAATAGTAGAATAGGGTTTTGGGGTTCAGGGTTTAGGGCCTTATTGGGGTTGCGACGGTTTACGGGGTTTAGGGCTTCTCGGGTTTAGGGCCTTGCGGAGTTTAATATAGGGGCCTCAATAATTAGAATAGGGTGTTGGGTGCAGGCTATCCTATACTAATGATAACGAACCTCCCCAACTAGTATAAGTAATTATTAAGGCCCCTTTATTAGACCTCAGGGTTATAGGGTGTGGGATCTCAGGGGTTGAGGGTCTTAGGGTCTTAGGGGTTTAGGGTTTTAGTTTAGGGGTTTAGGGTTTATCGGGTCTCAGGGGTTTAGGGTCTTGGTGGTTTAGGGTCTTTGGGGTTTAGGGTTCTAGGCCTCTGAGGTGTTTCAGGTTTAGGGCTTTGTGGTGAAGATGTTCGCGCTCGGTTTTCGAGGCTTCGGGTTTTATGGTTGAGGGTGCAGGCGGACTCTTGCCTAAAGGAACCCGTTCCCCATAAATCCTCAACCCTAACCCTCCAAGTACCTACTCTGTAGGGCTGTTGGGGCACTAGTACCCCCTATAGTAGGTACCTGGGGGGTTAGGTTAAGCCCCCTAAACCCTAAACCCTAAACCGGGAAACCCTAAACCCTAAACCCTAAACCGTTTAAGCCCTAAACCGGGAAACCCTAAACCCTAAACCCTAAACCGCTTAAGCCCTAAACCCAAACAGCCTCAACCCAGAGAACAGACGTCAGGCTCAGGTCCCGGCGGGCCAGCATCGAAGCTCACCCAGGCAGTACGAGGACAGGGAGGCCAGAGGCTCCGAGCCAGCCAACTCCGCGGGTTGTCGGATTCTAGACTCACTGGCCCAAAACCCAAGGAACTAAAAGTTGAAACTTTCAGAATCGATTACCTTATAAGAACCCCAAAAGTTGAAAAGTTGAGTTTACAGCCAATAAGTAGAATAAGGGCTCCATCTAATGGTGGTTCTGTTCGGGCATTGCGAGCAAGTCCCAAACGTTGAACTCGTAAATCCCTACCTCAAGCCCTGTACCATAAACTCCAACACCCTCAACCCCCCCAAACCCTAAGCCCTCCAAAAAGCCCTCAACCCTAAGAAACCCTACACTGTAGATGCCTAAAACAAACGAAACCCTAGTCAGGAAAAATAAGTCAAGCTCAGGTGGCAGTGGGTTTAGGGGTTTGAGGCTCAGGCTTTAGGGGTTTAGGGTTTAGGGCTTAAGGTTTAGGGGTTTAGGGTTCAGGGCTTTAGGGTTTTAGGGTTCGTTCATGGAAGCTCACCAGGTTGGGGGAGCTCCGAGACTCAACACCAGCATGTTGGCAGGACATCATGATTAGGGGGAGTTCTCTAAACTACTGTTGATGATATAAATCCTCAATTCCCCTAAGGACCCGTAGGGTCCCTTAGGCTTAGGGTTCAGAGTTTATCATGAGCATAATGTCGGACCTTCATAATTGGCATAGAGCGTTGGGCTCCCTTATGGTATCCAGAACTATAATAAGGAACCCCAAAGAACAGTATTGGTAATGCTTCTATGCTACTGGCAGGACTTCATGATATGGGGAGTTTTCTAAACTGGGTTCTTTTTATGAAGGTGGCGCCTCCTTTTGGGCTCTTAAAAGGGGCCCTAATGCGGAGAACAACCCCGATGCCTAGTGTCGAGGTCCCAGAGTTCAAGTCCCATGGCAACAACTCTGCAATAGCAAGGACAAGGAAGCTTCTGACCGAATACATGGGCCTTAATAATTACGAGAGCGTTCTGGGGTGATTGCGGGCAGAAGACACAGGGTTTGGGGTTTTTCTGCTGCTGATTATGATGAGGAACCCCCAACACAGTATTGGCAACTATTTAGGCTCCTATAGAATAAAACAACATGGGCTTGGCGTCTAGGCTGGCTAAATATCGACTTCGGCAGTATCAGAGTTGCTACATAGGAACCCCTCTCGACACTCAATACACGATACAGCAGTTTCACGGAATGACGGGTCTTACTGGAATTTGTCGAGAACTGGCATCCATCAAGCTCCCCCCCAAAAGCCACAATTTCAGAATGCAAATATGTCTTGTACTTCACAGGCAAAGATGCCATTCTGATATTTATTGAGCATTGCACTCCTGTGTTCTTGCAGGTGTACGCACGTGCTGCATGTTCTATACTGTCGCTGGTGTATGCTTCTGACTAGTGTCTGTCTTGCTGCAAGCTAAACCACAAAGCCCAAACCCAGAAGGGCGATGGCACCTGCCAGATTGCTGGAAGGCTGAATCTGAGAACTGTGCAGCCTAAAGCACGAGACTGTAAACCCTTGGGGGTTTATAGGGTTTAGGGTTTAGGATCTCGTCCCTCAGCCCCTGGCAACTTGGCAACCCTAAACCCTAAACCCGGGACTAAGGAAGCCTAGTGCCGACCCTAACATACTGGGAACCCTTGGCTGCAAACGACTGATAGAAAAGGGGCCTAAATAACTACCAATATCTCTTTCGGCACTTCCTTCTTCCAACTGTAGTATAACCCTAAACCCTAAACCCTAAACCCGAAGCCCTAAGCCCTAAAGCCCTGGCTTAGGTATTGAGGGTCCTATGCTAAACCACTCTAGTAGCCCTACACAGATCCCTTTTGAGAGGAGCCCCTTACTCTAATTATTAAGGCCTCCGTATCCATCCCCGGTGCCTTCGCCTAAACGCCAAAACCTAAACCCTAA